ACTTCAGATCTTCAGCTTATACTTAGTCTTTGTGTCTGTCCTTCATCTTCATACTTCCATTCATTTCACTTCCGATCTTCATATCGTCTGTTCTCTCAATGATGCACATTCATATGTATTTGCAAGTGGCACAAAAAGGCAGGGTGGAGGGGAGGTGGAGGGAAAGGGATAGAAGGCGGAGTTCTGTGTGTGTGTGTGTGTGTGTGTGTGTGTGTGTGTGTGTGGCTTTTGGTGAGAGAACACAGATTTGGAGGGTATGGGATGGCAGACAAAGAGGGGAGAAGGTCATTACCACAATGTATTGGTTGCTACAAATCTTGGTTATCAAATCTAAACGTGTGGGTCGACATTCTAAGCGTGCCAATGTAGGGGTGCGTGTCACTGAGAACAAGTTCTTGCTCTCCGTGGTGGTCTGAATTTCCTGTTGCTCTGTACCAGGTGACATGCCGATGTGGGCATTCCATGTGCTATGTTTGTCGGATGCCAATAAAGAGTTACAGCCATTTTTGCCGAGTAAGTAGACGAGACATTCACAGGGACGCTTGCCCCCAAGGTCACTTCCTGTTGACCTGGTTATCCTGTGAGGCTTTTTTTTTTTTTTTTTTTTTTTGGGAAGTCTGTGAGACAATCGTCTCTGTTGGAGGAAAACAAAGGACTGCTGCTGCAACAGGGGAAAAGGTTAAGCTATTAAGCTGCAAGTTCTTTTTTTTTTTTTTTTTTTTTTTTCAAACAATCCGTAAAATCCGTGGAACCCCTCTCAGTCTATAGTACATCAAATAATAGGAATACTGGAGTTCGAAGAAGGACATGAAAGTTGAAACATGAATTACAAGAACGAAGATTCGAAGGGCAATGCTATGAAGAATTGAAAAGTGTGAAGATCTGAATAACATGAGTTACATGACTATCATATATAGCATGATTATGTAGGGCCGGGGCTCTCAGCAGATCCAGACATTGGACACATGGATGGGCTGGCTGGCATCTGTGTGGTCATTCAAGCTTCCAGAGCAGACAGGATGTGTCTAGCATGGTCAGGATTGGTGCGTGTGTGTGTGTGTATGTACATAGTAAACAGCGGAGGGTATCGAGATGCGAACCATGTAAGCTAGGGAAGGAAAGGGAAGGCGGGGGGGAGGGGGGGGGGGCGGAGGTGAGCAGTGAGAGTCTCCTTGGGGATGGCGGAGAGGTTGTTGCAAGATCGTATCCAGACAAGAGACAAAGGGGAAAAGGGTCACAAACTCACAACATGGGTGGCACCTGCACAATTGGGGAAGGGAGGAGGGAGGGGGACCAGGGAGAGTCTTCTGGGGGAGGGGGTGTTGCAAGATCATACCCGGTCGAGACAAAGGGAAAAGGGTCACAGACTCACAACATGGGTGGCACCTGCGCAATTGGGAGGCTATGGGTAGTGCTGAGGGGGTTGCAAGATTGGCCCCATGCAATTGATGGGGTAAACATGAAGTATAGAGGGGGAGAAGGGGGGGGGGGGGGGGGGGGGGGGGGGGGGGGGGGGCGGAGTCCCCTGAGGGAGGGGGAGGGGGCGTTGCAAGAAGGTATCCGGACAAGAGACGAAGGGGGAACGGGTCACAGATTTACAACATGGATGACGCCTGTGCAATTGTGAGGCGATGGGGAGTGACGAGGGGGGTGGGGGTGTTGCAAAAGTATCCGGACAAGAGACAGAGGGAAAAAGGGTCACAGAATCACAACATGGATGACGCCTGCGCAATTGGGAGGCGATGGGGAGTGCTGAGGGGGGTGCAAGATCATGTCCATGCAATCGATGGGGGAAACATGCAGTATATTGGGGTGCTGTAATAGGCTAGCTATCCACTCAACGATAGGGACAGGGGGAATGTCTTCTCCATCCCCTCCCGCCCTTCCCTCCTTTTCCTGTTCCTTCCTTCATCGTCCAAAAACCGCTGACCACGTGCTCTATGTTGTCACGACCTGTTCGAGGATATTATCAATTTCTATGTTGTGACGATTTTACGACTATTTTAGAGAAAAGAAAAAGAAAAAAAAACTGTTGTGTCAGCATGGCAAGTCTCTAGGCTCCATGCTGGCCTGGTGGAGATCTATTTTACCTCAGCCTATTGGATCCCTCCGTGGTGCTGGAAAGAAGGGAGCACTGGCCCTTCTCTCTGCAAATGTGTCCTGCTTTGGGGGCCGGTTTGGGGGTGTTGGGGGGGTGTTTAAGTCTTTAGGGGTCCTGCTTTGGGGGGCCTGTTTGAGTCTTTCGAACAGCTTTGCTTTGGGGGGCCTGTTTGAGTCTTCCAACAGCTTTGCTTTGGGGGACCTGTTTGAGTCTTTCGAACAGCTTTGCTTTGGGGGGCCTGTGTTCACAGCCAGGAGGCTGCTCTTGTGTGGGTTCCATTTTCGCCGTTTCATTTCTTTCTATTTTCGGTAAGGTCGTGCACTACAGCTTCGCTAGGATGGGTTCATTTGGGGTCTCCGACAGCAGAAAATAGGGTCCGGTCGCAGTCGTCCCTAAGACCGGTCGTAGGGAAGTTTATCTTGTCAAAGTCGTTGCAATTTAGTACAGGGCGCTGTCCGTTGTTTGCAAACTGGGGGCGGCCGATATGTGTCTGGGCGGGCGATTTGGGTTTGAGTCGTTTCCGCTTTTGTTCTTTTTTGGCAGCCGATATGTGTCTGGGCGCCGTGGGCGGGCGATTTGGGTTTGGGTCGTTTCCGCTTTTGTTTTTTTTCCTCTTCTACCTGTCTCTTATACACATCTAGATGTGTATAAGAGACAGCACACACACACACACACACACACACACACACACACACACACACACACACACACACACACAGCATTCTGCTGTTTACTACGCCCAAGTAACGTATTGACTTTCCGAACAAAAAAAGAAGAAAAAACGCACTTACCTTTGCCCCGAGAGTTTTGGAGATGGAGGGCCTTGCTCCACTACTGACCAAATGTGCAACATGAGCATGAATCTTCTGGTAGAACACAGGTAGATACACTGCTTGTAGTTTAGAGCGTGAAATGCCCTTTTTCCTGGCCGCGTGTGGGGTGGTACAGCCCTCAGTAGCTTGCTATTCGTTTTTCAGGTTTTTTTTTTTTTTTTTTCCTCCTGGGATAGAAGAATCTGGGCTCCATCCATCGTCCTAGCTCAATTGGTTAGGCACACAAGTGGCATTCAGGAGGTTGTGGGTTCAATCCCCACGGCCTCCTGTGGCACTCTTGGTGCCAACCAACTGAGATAGTGAGCTGGATCCTCCCAGTTGGTATCAGTAAGGTCTTCAGCTAACACGGGTGTGAGTGCGCGTGTGAGTGGGTTGCCTGTGGTGTGTGGGAGAGTGTTGGCTTTGGACACTACCATCCAGAAGGCTGCCCATCCCCCACTTCATAAGACCTTTGCCAAGCCTACTGTCTAGAACATAAAGCAGGCTGTATGGAAAAATGAGGCTGGTAACCACTGGTGGTTTAAAACTGGAAAAGTTTAAACACAAAAAGTTTAAACACCTTTTCACCTCGAGGCTCTCGCCTTGGTGTTGCAACAGTGAATGGATTGAACAGCTATGCATGCCACAAAGTATTGCGCACGGTTCAGGCGTTTTGCCGCTTCAGGGTTTTGACGATGCTGTACCATATGGGGCTTCGTACTGTTAGGCTGAATGGTACATGGTACTGATGTTGAATAGTTAAACCACCAGTACTTCCTAGAGTCGTGCCTGTTAACGCACCACGATTTTAGGAAACGTACGGGCTACTACAGGAGCGCCCAAATTCATCCGACTAGAAACGTTTCTACTCTATTTTTTCCCGCTGCCGATAGTTGGGCCAAGTACTTGTGGTTTAAGCATGCCAATGGTACATAGTACGGATATGTATTATGTAACAGTTAAGCATGCCGCAGAGTATTGCACAAGGCTCAAGCTTTTGCTGCTTTAGGGTGTAAGGAAGGATGCACTGCCATATATTAAACAGCTAAGCATGCCACAAAGTATTGCAAAGGGTCCACGCTTTGCCGCTTCAGGGTTTTGATGATGCGCGTGCCATATAGGGCTTAAACCGCTAGTACACGGCCCGAGCCTTGCAGAAAGTTGTTGTCACCACAAGCAAAACTCGGAGGCGCCGCGCGGCGTGGGGCGCCGTTGAAAAAGTAAATAAATTGGCGGCCTCCAAAGTGGTGTGAGTTTCGTGCTGACACCCGCGGGCCGATGTCTGTAGTACTTGTGCTTTAATACTGCTAGGCTGAACGGTACATAGTACTGGTATTGAACATTAAAGCATGCCACAGAGTATTGCACAGGTTTCAAGTTTTTGTGGCTTTAGGGTGTAAGGAAGGATGCAGTGCCATATATTGAACAGCTAAGCATGCCACAAAGTATTGCACAGTGTTCAGGCTTGTGCAGATTTTGTTTTTTTTTAACTTTTTTACGATGCTATGTCGATATGGAGCTTGGTACTGTGATACCATATGGAGCTTGCTGCTGTTAGGCTGAATGGTACATAGTACCGACAACGATACTGTAATCTCCTCAACGTAGAGCAGCAAAAAAGAGAGAATTTTTTTTTGCTGCAAAATCCTCCTGCTAATGCAGGTATTCCTGCCAAACAGCTAAGCACGCGACAGAGTATTGTGCAGGGTTAGGCTTTTTGCCGCTTTAGGGGTGTAATAAAGCTCCGGTACATGGGCACCTGGACTGCGGGCCTGACACCTCAAATTCTGGAGGCGCGAAACGGAAACCCGACTGCCGATCTACTTTATCAACGGCAGGCCTGGCGTTTGACGTTTTGGCCTAGCCTCGTTTTCTTGTGGCGACGAGTTTCTGACTGCAAGGCTGGGGCCGTGTACTTGTGGTTTCAGGATGCTGTCCCATCTGTGATGTGAAGGTCCCTACTGGATATAACTTTGTCAGAGGGTGGAGGGGGGTGTTCCTCCCCTTCCATCTGTTACGATAGCCAACATTACTCACTTGTCGACGCCGACATGTATATGGTTGCTTGTGATGACGATAATCCCTGCAGCATCCCCGGGAGCCAAACAAGAAGTGTAGCAAGTGCAACAACTGCAGTCTATGGGAGCAGGTCAGTATCTGATTCCGCTCATGAAGGCTCCTCAACCCCTCGTCTGACCGCTACTGTTTTGTAATGTTTTCACTTTTCTTGAAATCTGAGCTGCGGACGTAAACTTGAGAAAGGTTTTCAACTTTTCAATGTTTTCACAGATCTTAAAAAAAAAAAAAAAAAAAAAAAAAAA